TGGGGTTAAAAAAGGGGCTAAGGGGAATGTTAATATATATATAAATATATATATATATATATATATATATATATATATACATACATTTTTTTTTTTAAATGATTCTTCCCCCTCCCTGACTCTTACTTTGTGCCAGTGGTAGCATGTGAAGCTGATGTTTCTATTGTCTCTACTGGAAGAGACAATTTCACAGCAGATACAGATGGACATGCAAATGGTGGGTAAGATGCAGATTAAGAGTGTCATAGAAAATACTGAGCTCCTGTCTGTCTTTTCCACACTCTCCTCTTCTTATTCCTCTTGCTCATCAAACTCATAGTCGTGTAGTTCCTGGGCCAGAGGTAAAGGTGTTATTTCTGTAGTGGTGGACATAATTTTATGTCTAGACACAGAGGCTCATATTGCTTATCCCTTTCTTTACTGTCCACCAATAGCAGCAAAGAATACAAACAGTAAGAAAAAATGGTATACATAGTGATAAGCCACTCCCATACCAAGTCCCAGTATAATAGCACCTCCCAATATATTTCCTCTTTCTTTGCTGCTCCACACACGATAAGTACAATTTTACTCTTACCAATAACTGTTTGCCTTTATCTATATTGATTAATTATTGTCGGCTTGCTGTTTACTGTGTACCAGACCCCGGCTTGTCCTAGTTTACGCTGTCTCTCTGTGTCCTTGACTTCGGATCGTCCCTGACTCTGCCTCCTCTCATATACGTCGAGTCCGGCCATTCTAAGGTCCGGTAGACGTATTTCTCCTCTGTGTTGTCTTCTGTTTAGCCGAATCCTGCGTGTTGGGGTATATTCTCGTTACACTTTTGGGCTTATTGATTGGCCAGGGATCTGGTAGTCCAGGCGGAATACCTCCCGGGGACTCCACAACATTCATGTGGACTGAAGTTCACGTTATCTGTCGGACAGCAGCGACTGGAGATTGGACGAAAGGGACACCTTCCTGCAAGACTGGACCGACTCGCTCCCATCATTTGCCATGAGCCGTCAGGTCCTGCTCCAAGTTTGACGTCAACTTACCAAACTGATTATGCTGATCCTGTTTTGGGGGGCTCAATTATGGTTCCCACAGCTCCTGGAACTGGCAGTGGATGTGTCCAGGCTGTTACCATCTTATCTGGACCTTTTTCTGGACCCATCTGGCTGTCGACACCCTCTCCTACTGAATGGGTCGTTGCTGCTGCTCGCGTGGAGGATTTCTGTGGTCCCTGGGGACACATGTGCTCCCGGTACTAGACGATCATATGGGACCACTTGGAGCTTGGGCTGGTTGGTGCCTGGCTCGGAACATGGATCCCGTTTTGGCACCTGTAACTGCAGTTCTTCAATTCTTCACCTCGTTATTCGAGGCTACTGTGTGTTTTGCACGATTAACTTGTACAGATCGGCAATTTCATTGGCTCATCAGGGTTTTGACGGCTGTCCCGCAGGCCAACACCCTTTGGTGTGCCGTTTGCTTTGGTGCTCACTACTGTCGCACCCTCTTAGGCCTCGACACATGGGAAACCATGTTAAAGTATAGGATTGTTGAACATCTAAAATCACATGGATTTCCAGATCAGAGACAACATGAAGTTTACTTCAGGGAGATCATGCCAAACTAATCTTTTTGATTAGGTAACTAAAATAATAGATCAGGGTGGTGCAGTAGACATTGCCTACCTAGATTTCAGTAAGGCTTTTGACACTGTTCCACATAGAAGGCTCATCAGTAAACTGCAATCTTTAAGTTTGGATTCCAATATTGTTGAATGGGTTTTGCAGTGGTTAAATGACAGGCAACAGAGGGTTGTTGTCAACGGAGTATATTCGAAGCAAGGTCTAGTTACCAGTGGGGTACATCAGGGATCTGTACTTGGACCCATTCTCTCTAATATTTGTATTAGTGATATTGCAGAAGGTCTTGATGATAAGGTATGTGTTTTTGCTGATGATACTAAGATATGTAACAGGGATGATGTTCCAGGAGGGATAAGCCAAATGGCAAATTATTTAGGTAAAATAGAAAAATGGTCAGAGCTGTGGCAACTGACATTTAATGTGGATAAGTGCTAGATAATACAACTTGGATGTAAACCCAAGGGCAGAGTATAGTATATTTGATACCATACTAACCTCAACATCTGAGGAAAGGGATTTAGGAGTAATTATTTCAGATGATTTAAAGGTAGGAAGACAATGTAATAGAGCAGCTGGAAATGCTAGCAGAATGCTTGGTTTTATAGGGAGAGGTATTAGCAGTAGAAAGAGAGAAGTGCTTATGCCATTGTACAGAACACTGGTGAGACCTCACTTGGAGTATGGTATGCAGTACAGGAGACCGTATCTTCAGATGGATATTGATACTCTAGAAAGAGTTCAGAGAAGGGCTACTAAGCTGGTTCATGGATTGCAGGATAAAATTTACCAGGAAAGGTTCATAACATGTATAACCTGGAGGAAAGACGAGACAGGGAGGAAATGATAGAAACATTTAAATACATAAAGGGAATCAACACAGTAAAGGAGGAATAATAAATATATGTGTGCAAGGATAGGCGCTGATGTTACAGCAGCTGCCACATAAATATAGGGACTCGCCTCCCCTATAGAAATATATATGAAAGAATTGTACACAAAAGTGAAGGAAAATAGTTATTAACCACCACTGGTGTAATAGTGGAGCGCTTAAAGTGATGTTAACTTACCCCTATGGGTTAACAAAGTATTCAGTATATATGGAATACACCACAGTATAAGTGTCCGAAACCATAAAACTCATATAGTGCAATATCGCAGTGATACAGTATACAAATATATAGTTGTGTAAAGTCACTTTACACAACTATATATTTGTATACTGTATCACTGCAATATCGCACTATATGAGTTTTGTGGACACTACATTGATACTCTGCTGTAAGTCCTCACTTTTGGGCGGCTCTGATGACTTCCATAAAGTAGACTCTTCTGAATTCTCCCTTAGTTGCTTCTTGGGGAGGCACCAAAAAGATATAACAGCTAGTTCCAGTGTAAGTGGCAGCAAAAGTTATTGCAGGGTGAAATGGATGGTAAAAAAATATTTTCTCCCCGGGTCTTGAATCAGACATAATTTACATGCTTCTATTCCCATTATCCTTAGACAGACTGCTACTAATAGTAATGGTGGCGGTGGTAGAGGCAGCTTTTGTGGAGGTGTCAGGAGCCTTCATGGCCAGGGAAGAGGTGTTTTAATTCTCAGAGCCCATGGCACAAAAGCTGATGGTGGATTCAATGAGAATCCCTTAGTGGCCTTCAGCCTAGGTGGGTTCATGTAGTTTGAGGTAGCTATTTTTGGTTTAGAACCCAAGATAAGCCCATCCCCACTTCAAATCTCCAAATTGAAAAGTTTAGGTCAAAACAGCTACTGTAAAATCACTCTCCAAGTCAGCTATACAGTATTTATTGTTTGGTGATTTAAGTTTGAATTTTGCAATTTGTTTATCAGCTGATCACCATTCACTGTTAAAGGAACAATATAGCGTTAAGAATACAAACATATAATCACAATGCTATAGTGTCCCTATTCTTTAGATGTATATATATACTTTCCAGTACTTCATTTTTAAAAATTTTGCTTTATTTTAATCCCTTGCTCACTGGCTGCTTTCACTGCCAGTGGCCAAAATAGCATATCTCTGTAGGTTCACCTGCAAAAAGAAAGTTAATTTAAAATTTACCTAGTAATGGAGTCTTTCAAAATAGAAATCTGGTTGAAATGCAGAAGTGTTTAATAAAGATGTAAATCATGTGATGAATATTTATTTTAATTTTAAAACAGACGTGAACTCCTCAGGGGGCACTTCTGCTAGCTAACATACCCCCGCCGTGTTTCCCTATCACAAACGGCACACGACAGGGATGCTCTCTGTCACAAATTAGGATTGTAGGTAATCCCTAGCAAAATGAGCTATGGGAGTACCGAACAGGAAAAGGGATCTATGGGTATACACATATATAAATAAAAAACCTTTAATGTTGGGTTTTAGTTCCCCAAAGAAGAAAAAAAGGAAACTTAAAAAACCATCACATCTAAGTAACACACAAGGAAGAACTCCGTCGGTATGTAGGTAGGGCAGGATATAGTAATACTGGAGAAACTGACTTGAGATTGGAACTAGTAAAGATACTTAACTCAATCTGTCTACAGTAAATTACTAAAGCTCCCTGTTAGAGATGAGTAAATCTAGAGGTATACGATTAAACTATTCCCAGGTCTCTGAACAGATAATAGACAGTGTAAGGAGTGCAACTGTATCTATCACTTTAGCAATAAGAACTGTTACAAATGTAACCGGGTCCTCTAAGCAGGAGAGTTCATAACTGCCTGTAAACTAATGCATAGACGTCTAAATAGACCTAATGCTCCATCGACTTAATGAGATCTTGCTTCCCCACCCAGTGAGCACATAAAACCGTGCTTGTGATTTAAAAACAAAAATAAAAAAGCATAAACCTAACGTCCGTTTCTGCGCTGCCAAAGCGCCTTTATCAAAGGTAAAAATGGCACTGCTCAGGAGTGAATATATAGACATCTTTTACCCGCTGGACCAATCGGGAGTATGGGCGTGAATATCATGTTCCCGCCGGAATCTCAGTCCACCTGTGTAGAACCCAGGTCCCTTCAACGTATTGCTTTTCAGCTCCTCCCTTAAGGGAGGGACTAGTTTGATGGTTTATGTGGTAACCATGGCGCCCACCTTCATGAATGGGGTTACGTCTGCTCCATAGACGGACCCTTTCATTACCGTACCGGGCGTCACGACCAATCATTCTAGTTATACGGCTCCATCAGGGGGTATAGAAGGATACCATTATTTGATATTATTTGCTTAGCTAAAATATATTATTTGGCAACATAAATAAAAGTGATTCTGATATGCCTAAGATGTGTTTGTGTAAGATGTAATTAATGCAAAATGTATAAAATATATGTACATATGTATATATGTTGGTTTATCTCCCTGACGTCATCTTCCGGCTCCGGCATCAGTACGGTGCGCGAGGGAGCTGAAGAGGAAGCACGCGCACCGTACTGATGCCGGAGCCGGAAGATGACGTCATCTTCCGGCTCCGGCATCAGTACGGTGCGCGAGGGAGCTGAAGAGGAAGCACACAGAGAGTGCTCCCTCGCGCGCCGGCCGGCTTTCAGGGCCAGCCTCTGGGGGGCCCTGAGGTGACCGGCTGCTGGGCCCCCCAGGAGAAGAGGCTGGCCCAGTGGGTACATACTGGGTCGCAGGGCCCCCTGCGACCCCGGTATGTACCCACTGAATGTGGGGCCCGGACAACCTGAGCAGTCCGGGCCCCCCAGGACCGCCGGGCCCATGACAACCTTTGCGGTTGTCATGCCCTGATGGCGGCCTCGGCTGCCAGTGACCTTTCAACTACACTAACACACTCTACTACAGATTAACACTTATATTAGTGTTACAACATACTACACTCCACTAGACGATTTACTTTTATGTATTCTCTCCCTCACATTCTCTTGTACTCCCTATGTCTATCTGTATATAATGTTTATTATATTTACAGATATGTTAATATAAAACACATATATTAAAGGGACACGCTAACCTCCAAAACAAATTTAGTTTAATGACACAGTTTGTGTGTATGTTGTTTTCTCTGCCATTTGAATTACATTTGTTTCTTTTTATATAGCCCTAGCCACACTTTCCCTGGCTGTTACTGAAAAATGTTTTAGTTGTCAGTCTGATAGTACAACACAATGTGTTTAATTAAGAAATTCGTATTTCCTACTCTGTTAGATAGGCTTTAATCAAACATACACATGAAGCTGTTGTAGGGTTTAGTAGGCAATTAACAGTGCAGGAGATAAGAAAGTCTAAATTAAACACACTGAGCAATAAGTGAAGCTAAAACATGAATCTCTTCCCCAGAAAGTAAGTATGGAAGCTATATGAATCACATCAAGGGGAGTATAGCTAGGGCTGAAAAAAACAAACAAAGTGATTGAACTCCTATAAAGCACAGACTTGAGCAGTGAGACTGCAGGAGCATGATCTATATAGCAAAAGCATATTATTAGGCTAAGGTTATTTTGGTGCTGTTTTGTTTTTTTAATGTCAGTACACGGCAGGTCTGGACTGGCCATCAAGCAAACTGGGCATATGCCTGGTGGGTTGCGATGGCCATGAGCCAAGGCCAACAGGGGAGGTCCGAGGATATCCCCTGCCTGCCAATGTAAAGCAAGCACTAATGAAGTACTGGTACTGTTGTGTGCCATGACAGGATGGTGGGAAGATCTCTCTCCCTGGCCCATAAGCACTGCAATCCAGAGAGGGGAGAGGAGGAAGCCAGATGCTTAAGGTCCCTCTTGCGAATTTAGACTTAAACCGTTGCCATAGATAACATTGCAATGCTGCGACATGCCAAATCACAAGTGAATAAACTCTAGGTTTGCATTCACATACCACTGGACCAATACCCCTCTTTCCTGGTCAAAGATAATGTTTTTTTTCAATTAAAAATAATATAATATATATTTAATATTAAGACTCAAGGTGCATACTGTGGAAGAGGTCTCTGAGACAATCCAGCAGATAATGGTTGGTTGCAAGATGTTAGAAGTATCATATACGGAGAGAGACAACCAAGTTGCTGGGATTGTGTACCAAGATATCTGCTCAGAATACGGGCTGAAACTGTCTAATTCCAGATGGGAGATGCCACAAAGGGTAATTGAAAATGGCAGGGCTAAGATCCTGTGGGATTTCCAGTTCCAGACAGACAAGCAATTACTGACCAACCAATCTGACATCGTGGTGGTAGACAAGAATCAGAAGTCTGCAGTCATGGTGGATGTAGCAATACCCAGTGACTATAACACCAGGAAGAAAGAATGTGGAAAGTGAAGGCAGTATTAGTCCCAGATGTGATAGGAACAATCAGGGGAATTTGAGATCTCATACCCAGGCTATACATAACCAAACAGATACTTTTAGGGCCTCCACACAACATAATGAACAGGAGATACATTTTCAGGGGAGACCCAGAGGTCCAAAAGAAAAATCTATAACCAATTACTTCCGTCCCAGAACCGAAATTTGGGAACACTCAAACAGATTCACCCCTTTATACCAAGACTCACTACACAAGAGGGTGAGAACAGAGGATTAGACCAGATTTCCAATCCTTCTTTCTCTATGAAAAAGGAGGAGATGGATAGAGGTAATTTTAATTTGACTGGAACCCCCCTTACATTTGAGGAGATAGATTTGCTTTCAAAGGGGATGAAATTTGCCCCTAATAAAATGGCAAATGATTTTGATCTCTACATAGACCTTAAAAAATTAATTCGGTCTTTAACTATAAGAAGACATTTCCTTTTACATCCTTCTACAACTGATATGGATTCGAATATTGTAGATAAAAGAGATGACTATAAATTACGACATAAATCAAATTTTTTTCCAGTCCAAAGTAATGTCCCTTTTTGGAAACCTTCGAACATATGGTTGATCAGGCTTTTCAGTCTATTATTAAAGAAAGAAAGAGAGGATCATGTTCTTTTAATTTAACAAAGAGGGAAGGAGCTATTCTGCAACATCTTATGGAAAGAGAGGATCTGGTGATCAGAGAGGCTGATAAGGGGGAGGCATAGTACTGATGACTACTTCTTATTATTTGAAAGAATCCCTTAATATTTTAGGGAATAAAAAAACATATATCACTTCTCAAAATAACCCTACTTTGTCTTATAATTCAGAACTTAAGAAATTTTTGATTGCAGCTAGAGATAATGAAATCATATCATCAAAAATTTTTGACTTTTTGTTTCAAAAGAATCCAGTAATTCCGATTTTCTGTTTTCTCCCAAAAACCAATAAACGCCTCCCTGATCCACCGGGTCGTCCTATTATTAGTGGAGTAAATTCTCTTACTGTTAATTTGTCCGCTTATGTGGACTCTTTCCTTCAAAAATATGCTCAGGGGGCACCCTCATTTATACGTGATAGTAAGTCTTTCCTGCAAGAATTAGACAGTATAGAATGGGACTCCGAATACAGTTGGGCCTGTATACGGTAATTAGTCATAGACTAGGACTGGAGGCTCTTGATTACTATATGTCCCAGGACATGGATTTATCTCAAGGTCATAAATAATTTATATTGACCTCAGTTAAATTTATTTTGGAACATAATTTTTTCTTTTTTGACGATCAATATTATCTACAGATCACAGGGACCACCATGGGCACCAGGTTCGCCCCCCAGTTATGCCAACACCTACATGAGGAGATGGGAGGAATTATTCGTGTGGTCGGGGCATGACTGGAGGGAGAACCTGGTGCTCTGGCGGAGTTATATCGATGATGTGATCATCATTTGGAAGGGGTCATCAACCAGTTTTTTTGAATATGTTCAATACTTCAACTCCAACCTATACAATTTAATATTCACCCCGGAGTGGAATAAAAACGAGATCCATTTTTTGGATCTTTTTTTGTGACCAGGGACAAATTCAAACTAAATGTTTTTTCAAACCAACTGATGGTAACGCTTCGTACATCAACAAAGCTGTCACCATAAGCCTTGGCTTAGGGGTATAGCGCGAAGTCAATTTACCTGTCTTAGGCACAATTGTTCTCGTTTTCAAGATTTTCAGACTCAATCTTCCCATGTAAAAGATAAACTGTGTGCCAGGGGCTATAACAAGAACACTTTAGAAAAATAAATTTGATCTATTGGCCTCCTTGAACGTAGCAAACCTCTGGAGGACAAAATCCCTGAGACTGTGGGGAACACTAATTTTAAATCAGCTTTTGTCACCCAGTATTATATTGATCATTTTAAGATCAAAAGGAGCCTTATGGCATTTTGGCCCATTTTACAACAGGATCCTATTTTGGGTAATTCTCTGTCTGAACATCCGATGGTGATTTTCAAAAAGAATAAAAACCTAAAAATTATGCTAGCTCCTAGCTATGCTATTAAGACAAATAGATCAAATAAAACTCTTGTTTCAGGTTTCTTTAGGGGATGTGGTTCATGTAAAGCCTGTGCTACTGCCCTCATGGGAACAATTAAGGAATTTACCAGCATAATTACAGGGGAAACATTTAAGATCAAAATGGAGATAGGTTGCCACACGGACCATGTAGTATATTTACTGCAGTGTCCGTGTGGCAAACAATATGGGGGTCGTACAAAATGTACGGAACATTTAAATAACATTCGTAAGGGACTGGCCACCCATTCAGTTTCGGCCCATTGCAGTAACTGTCCCCTTTTCTCGTTTAGGGATTTTAGTTGTGTGGCTATTGAACATATTCTTCCATTCTGGCGTGGGGGGGATAGGATCAAAAAGTTATCCCAAAGGGAAACCTTTTGGATACATAAACTCAAGACCCTTGAACCCAGGGGTCTGAATATTGGGATAGATCTTGGACTGATTCTTGGGTCTTTTTCTCCCTCTTTCTATTATTTTTGGATGTATACTATAATTAAAAAAAAATGCAGAGATGTTGTCTGCTTTTCTTAATGCAGATATGTGTACTAATGAAATTCTACATTATAAAATGAGAATCGAACAAATAAGGGTGCGCCTAAGACAAGTAGAATGAATGTATAAAAATATATATCAGAGAGTCCGAGCAGCGATACCTAGAAAGTCCAAATATAAATAATCCACATATGCAGGAGGTAGTCCTAGTGCTACATAAAATGGTATGTGAAGTCCCAGATGTATATCCGCAGCTTCAAAATGGATATGTGAAGAAAACAGAAGACAAGGGAAACTCCAATAGTATAGTATGACTACTCACACTATATACAATATTATTTACCGTTCATACTATACCATTGGAGTTTCCCTTGTCTTCTGTTTTCTTCACATATCCATTTTGAAGCTGCGGATATACATCTAGGACTTCACATACCATTTTATGTAGCACTAGGACTACCTCCTGCATATGTGGATTATTTATATTCGGACTTTCTAGGTATCGCTGCTCGGACTCTCTGATATATATTTTTATACATTCATTCTACTTGTTTTAGGCTCACCCTTATTTGTTATTTTCTCTCCATTGTATTCCAAGGGGCTT